TTAATCAATCAAAATAATATCAACTTCCTCAAAAAATATAATACGTTTATTTTTGTTTGCAGAGGATCTATTTGACTTTTTAACAGCTCTCCTTACTTTGGGAAAGTGACATATTTCCACAATGGATATAGGCTTATGCATTGTCAAATGGATGTGATTCTATCAGTTTCATTCTGAGCAAACATTCCTGGGTTTTAGACTGTTCTTTCCTCCTTCCACCTGATTTCTTTCCCCTTCCACACACATATACTTCTGCTTTAATTATTGCTCTAATGAATAGATCTAGACATTGAATAGCAATGGCTGCTAATTTCACCAAAGAAGTGACCTAACCAAACATTACCTCTCCCACACAACCTATGGAGTTGTCTCTCCTTTCCAAAAGCCAAACATGAGTCTGACAAAGCTTCTACATCCAACTTCCAGGTTACGGAAAATACAGAGCACAGAGGAACACATTAAACTGCAAGATAAGGATGAACTCACACAAATCCAGACTGCAGGGAATTCTGCAGGAAAATTACTTATCTTCTACAAATAAATTGCTAGAGATGGAGGAGAGTAGGGGGAAAGAGGAAGAAAAAAAGGGTTGGGGGGAGAAAGAAGAAAGAGACTGAAAAGACTAAATAACCAATCACAGTATGTAAACCTTATTTGGGTCCTAATTTTTAAAAACTACAAAAACATTTTATTATATTTATGAGACAACTGGAAATTACAACATTGGCCACTTGATAATATTAAAATAGTTTGTTTTAATATGAAACTTAAATTTATTTATTTTTTTTCTTTTTCATGGGTATTAAGGAGGGCACTTGTGATGAGGAATAAGTATTGTAAATGATGAGTTCCTAAGTCCTACACCTGAAATTAAAAGAATTGTTTACATGAACGCCTCTGGACTTTGGGAAACAAACTGAGAGTTACAGAAGGAAGGGGGGTGGGGGGATGGGGTAACCGGGTGATGGTTATAAAGGATGGCATGTGTGGTGATGAGCACTGGGTGTTATACGCAACTAATGAATCACTGAACACTGCATCAAAAACTAATGAGGGGCACCTGAGTGGCTCAGTCAGTTAAGCATCTGCCTTTGGTTCAGGTCATGATCCCAGGGTCCTGGGATTGAGCCCCACATCAGGCTCCTTGCTCCATGGGGAGCCTGCTTCTCCCTCTCCCTCTGCTTGCTACTCCCCCTGCTTGTGCTCTCTCTTTGTCAAATAAATAAGTAAAATCTTAAAAAAAATGATGTACTATATGCTGGCTAATTGAACCTAATAAATAAATAAACAAGCAAATAAATAATTTAAAAAATAGAAGTTAAAAAAAAGCTACAGCAGTCAAAGAATGTGGTACTTGCAAAAGGAAGATATGGAGATCAATGCAATATAACTGAAAGTCCAGAAATAAAACCATTTAACTTTGTCAACTGACTTTTGACAAGGACATGAACAACACTCAGTGGGGAAGAATTTCTTCAACAAATGGTGTTGGTGGACCTGGCCAGCGACACCATGAAAAATGAAACTGAGCCTCTGTCTTACACCACACCCAAAAATTAGTTCAAAATGGATTAAAGACAGAAATTAAAAATAGAGCTTCCCTATGACCCTGCCATTGCACTACTGGGTATTTACCCCCAAAGATACAGATGTAGTGAAAAGAAGGGCCATCTATACCCCAATGTTTATGGCAGCAATTGCCACGGTCGCCAAACTGTGGAAAGAACCAAGATGCCCTTCAACAGACGAATGGATAAGGAAGATGTGGTCCATAGACACTATGGAGTATTATGCCTCCATCAGAAAGGATGAATACCCAACTTTTATAGCAACATGGACGGGACTGGAAGAGATTATGCTGAGTGAAATAAGTCAAGCAGAGAGAGTCAATTATTATATGGTTTCACTTATTTGTGGAGCATAACAAATAGCATGGAGGACAAGGGGAGTTAGAGAGGAGAAGGGAGTTGGGGGAAATTGGAAGGGGAGGTGGACCATGAGAGACTATGGACTCTGAAAAACAATCTGAGGGGTTTGAAGCGGCGGGGGGTGGGAGGTTGGGGGAACCAGGTGGTGGGTATTAGAGAGGGCACAGATTGCATAGAGCACTGGATGTGGTGCTAAAACAAGGAATACTGTTATGCTGAAAAAAATAAAATTAAAAAAGAAGAAGAAGAAATGTAAGGCCTGATAATGTAAAACTTCTAGAAGAAAAAGGGGAAGAAGTTCTTTCACATTGGTCTGGACAATGATTTTCTGGCTATGGCACCAAAAGCACAAACAAAAAAGCATAATCAATGTGCTATGATGAGTGCTGTGAAGTGTGTAAACCTGGCGATTCATAGACCTGTACCCCTGGGGCTAATAATACATTATATGTCTATAAATTTTTTTTAATTAAAAATAAATAAATAAATAAATATCTTAAAATAAAACATATAGGATGCCTGGGTAGCTCAGTTAGTTAAATGTCTGACTCTTGGTTTTGACTCAGGTCATGATCTCAGGGTCATGAGATTGAGCCCTGGGTCGCCCTCCGCCCTGAGCATGGAACATGCTTAAGGTTTTTTCTCTCCCTCTCCCTCTGCCTGCCCCTCTCACATTATCGCTCTCTCTCTTAAAATAAATAAATAAATAAATACATACATACATACATACAACTACTATATGAACCAGCAATATCATTTCTGGGTCTATGTCTAAAGGAAATGAAAGAAAGTTATCAAAAAGATAACCCACTCCCATTTTATTGTAGCATTATTCACAATAGCCAAGATATGGAAACAATCTAAGTGTCCGTCAACAGAAAAATGTTTCTAAAAGATGTAATATATATATATATATATATATACATATATATATATGTATATATATATGCATATATATAAAACACAATATATATAATTGAATATTATTCAGCCATGAAAAAGAAGGAAATCCTGCCATTTATGACTACATGGATGGATCTTGAGGTTGTTATGCTAAGTGAGCTAAGTCAGACAAAGACAATGACAATCTCACTTATATGGGGAACTTAAAACAGATGAACTCATAAAAACAGAGTATAATGGTAATCCAGAGACTAAGGAATAGGGGAGTTGGGGAGATGTTATTTAAGGGTACCAACCTACACCTAGTAGACAAATAAGTCCTGGAGATCTAATAATACACAGTGTAATGATAATAAGCAACAATAATGTACTAAAAGCTTCAAAGTTGCTAAGAGACTAGATTTTCATTTTTCCCACCACAAAAAAGAGGAAAATTACATGACATGGTAGAAGTGTTATCTCACACTTTGGTGGTACAGCTGTCCCCATTTTATCTGTGGTTTCCTTTTCTGCAGTTTCAGCTACCTGTGGTCAACTGCAGTCCAGAAGCAGATGGTCCTCCTCCTGATGCATCATCAGAAGGTCAACAGCAGTGTAATCCTGTATCACAATGCCTATATCACTGACCTCACTTCATCTCATCACGTAATTATTTCATCATCTCACATCATCACACAAATAAGGGTGAGTACCGTACAATAAGATATTTTCAGAGAGATAAACTACATTCACATAATTTTTATTACAGCATATTGTTATAAATGTTCCCTGTTTTATTATTATTTGTTATTAATCTCTTAATCTGACTAATTTATAAATTAAACTTTATCATAGTTATGTATGTATAGGAAAAACATAGTATATATAGGGCTTAGTACTATCTACTGTTTCATGCAGCCACTGGGGGGTTTGGAACATAACCCCCGAGGGTAAGGGGGACCACTGTAATATTGCAACACATAAATGTATCAGATCAACATATTGTTAAACTCACAATGTTTTATTTCAATTATATCTTAGTAAAAAGAAATGTTAATGGTATTGTAATGGAGTTGTATGGTGAGAAATGGTAGCTACACTTGGATGAGCATAGCACAACATACAGTTATCAAATCACTATGTTGTACACCTGAAACTAATGTAACATTGTGTGTCAACTACTTCAATAAAAAAGAGCTCAACAAATATTTTTATTTATCACTGCAAACCTCATAAGAGCTGGCAAAATAGAACTCAATGTCCAGCTCCCAACAAGCTAAGCACAGCCAATTTGTCTTCTTCATTGTTGAAATAGTTCACTGTTCATTGTTTTATGCAAAAGAGTTTTGGCTTTGCATTTTCTTTGTATATCTTACTTGAAAATGTAAAGAAAATTAATTTAAAATATATGAAATAGAATTTACACACATCAGAATAAGATGCTCACACTATGACAAGTCCATGGAAACTGAGGCTAAGATACAGAATAACAGAATCATAGCCCCTTTCACACTCACTTTTGGGCCAGTATTTGCTCACTGAATGGAACAGGTATAAAACTACCACCCCATTTTACCTAACCTGCTCCCTTCCCCTAACTTTCTGACACACACACCAGCACACTTTCCATGAAGAAGCACACTGAGTTAGACGTGACCATAATTAACTTCACTGTCTCTGTTTCAGTTCAGATTTCATAGTAATATTCTCACACTTCTTCAAAACTATGGGATTCAACATCCCAGGCCTAGTGACTCATTTGTATCCACTTTTTTTAATCATTTTTTTAAATTTATTTTCAGCATAACAGTATTCATTGTTTTTGTACCACACCCAGTGCTCCATGCAATCTGTGCCCTCTCTAATACCCACCACCTGGTTCCCCCAAACTCCCACCCCCCAACCTCTTCAAACCCTTCAGATTGTTTTTCAGAGTCCATAGTCTCTCATTGATGACTGAAGATAAACGGTCTGGGGAAGGGGTTCCTGAGACAGGCTGACATGGGAGCCCTGAGCACATGTGGCACGTGTTCACCACTCTGTCAGGCGCCACAACAACAAGAGTCGAATCTGGAGTTCCGTAAGTTAGCCAGGCCATCCTTCCCTCATCTCTCCAAAACCAGCCATGCTTGAACCCCCCCCCCCCCACTTTTTTCCTTCACCACCCAAAATGGCTCTTCAGCAGGCTCATCAGGAGTCCACCCTCCCCAGTCCAAGCAGCCTGTGAAGGGCACTCTTGACATCCTTGTTGCGGAGGCTATACACAAAAGGGTTGGCCAAAGGGGTAATGGCAGTGTACATCACAGCAGCCACCATGTCCTTTTCCTGAGAGTTCTGGGAAGGAGGCTGGAAGTAGACCCAGATGATGGTGCCATAGAGGAAGCCAACCATGGAGAGGTGGGATCCACAGGTGGAGACTGCCCGGTGGCGACCAGCAGCTGAAGGCAAACGTAGGATGGTGGCCCCAATGCGAGCATAGGAGAGTACAATGAGGGCACAGGGACCTAGCATGAGGAAGCCACCCTCCAAGAATATGGCCAGCTCATTGGAATGTATGTCAGAGCAAGAGGCTCGCAGAAGTGGTCGGTGGTCACAAAAGAAGTGGGGAAGTTTAACATTGCCCTTAGCATCCCCATCCCAGTAAAGAGGCAAGAGAAGTCCCACGTGCAGCATGGTGTGCACTATGGACACCACCCAACTCAAGGCCAGTAGGCAGGCACAGAGTTGGCGACTCATCATTGAATGGTAGTGCAGGGGATTACAGATGGCCACATAACGATCCAGAGCCATGACAGAAATAACAAGTGTATCTGTAACTCCAAATGCATAGAAGAAAAAGAACTGGGCCAGGCAGCAGGCAGCAGAAATGGCTGGGTAATTAGAGGCCAGATGGGCCAACAACTGGGGCAGGGTGACAGTGGACAGCCCCATGTCTATGACGGAGAGACCACGGAGCAGATAATACATAGGTGAGTGGAGCCTGGAGTCCCGGGAGATAAGTAGCACTAGAGTCACGTTCCCTATTATGGTGACCAGGTAAATAGCCAGGAACAGGAAGAAAAGGAGACCTAGAGAGATTCTAGTTCTTGAGAACCCAAGGAGTAAGAAGACTGGAGAATGTGAAGCATTAGGGGAGCAGCCCATGATAAGTGACAATAAGCCTGTCTGAAAGAGATTTTCAATCAAAAAGTAAGTCATAGGTAATAGGTCGGAGGATCGTAATAGTTCTAGTTGATTTATTTATGTTATTCAAGTTCCCTAAAGACTTCAATTCAACTGACCACCACGGCCCTTCTGCTAAGTCTATGACTTCACTCCTGTAATTTACTATAGCATTTTCTTCCTACTTCTTCCTTTCACCCACTCTAGTGGCTCCTTTTCTATAATCAATAAACCTTAAGAAAGTCCCTCATCCAGTTATAAACCCTTCATTCAGTAATGTCTTTTCATCCTACTGCTGCTTTTCTCCTTCCAATGGCAAACGTCCTGAAAAAATTCCTGTACTCCCTGGCTCTAACTCTTCATCTTCAATTCACACTTCATCCCATTGCAGTCCTCATGATTTCATTTCTCTGGACCTGTAAGGAACATGTTATCATTTAATATGTAACATATAAACAAATGGTTCATTATAGGTATTTGGTTTTTATAGTGAAACTGCTTCAAGTTGTCATAAAATAACTTGGCTTTACTCTTTATTCCATTTTGTTGGTTAATGGCATCACCATTATCATCCATCTAATTGCCCAAAGCAAAAGCTGGGGGACTCTCTCCCTCATCTCCTCATATTCAATTACTTCTTGACTTCTACATTTCCCCTTATATTCATCCTTTGCCCTTAATCCACTCACAATGTTTAAGATTTAGCATCTCTGACCAGTGCTAACTTCATAGCCTCATGACTAGTTTCTCTACTTATCTCCCTTGGTAGATCTTCCATACTGATTCCAGAAGAAAACTTTCAACATATACTTCCCTATTTAAAGAGTCAGGGCCTTCAGAATAGTATCCAAATAGCTTCATCTGGCTTATGAAGAACTTTTGTTGTTAATGACTAGCCTATCTTACCAAGTTCATGCTGAGACACCTACATAGTATGTTTAAAACTAGACAAAAAATAAAATTAAAAAAAAAACTAGACAACTCTTTTTTTAGTTTTCTGAACATTGTAACCTCTCACATTTCTGCAGATCATCACATGCTATTTTGAAAGCTTTAGCTTGCTGAAATATGAGGTACTACGCACCTTCCCATGCAACATAGGTAGAAATGTTGAAGAAATATGATAATCATCCTTTTAAATTCATAAATGAGTGTTTAAGAATGTAAAGGAAACTACACTACATCAGAAACTAATGATGTATTATATGCTGGCTACCTGAACATAATAAAAAAAAAAAAAACCAGTCAACTGTCTACTATGATGTATGCAGTGGTGGTAACAGGTAGGTGGGAGGGGTATACCATCAGTCCTCATTGTCTAGGGGCCCCATGTAGAGCAGGAGGTGAGAATGTAGGCCTATGTGAGGCAAAAGGTTGAAAGGTAGACACCACCACATTAGTCAGGACATTCGAAATGGTAAGCTCTCAGTGAAAGAATATACACAAACAGGAAAATGGATATATACCAGTGTCTATAGGACACCCAAAGAAAACTCATCTCTCTCATCCTGTACTTCATGGAGGGGAAAGGTCTCCCATGTGAATGCAGTTATGGGTCTGGATAGCACCTGAAATGGATACACTTATTTACAAGACACATATGATCCTAGACCCCTCACACTGACAAACTAACATAAAAATCATTCCCAGACTGGTAAAATCCTTGGGGTACCTTTTAGAAGCAAACATAAAACTTCTCCTCATGTTGCTGTAGACTGTATGGGAATCCCACAAATAAAAAACAACCAAAAAGATGTTCTCACAATTCAAAATTACTAAACAGACACAAAACCTATTTATTATGAAGATAATCAGCAATGAACAAGTGATAGAATTATCTCCCCCTAAACATCATAAAAGTAATTAATCTGTTAGGAATTATAAGCTATGTTTAAAATACTTTGTATCTCAAAGGAGGAATAAAGACTATAAGAAATAAGATATTATAAAAGTAAAATACAACAGATTTGGAAAAAACCCAATATGAATTATTAGAAAATACAAATATTCACATTCAAAGTAAAGACTCAATGAATGGCATGGACAGTAACTGAAGAGAGAGGCTAGTTCTGAGAAAAATACCCAGAAAACAGTATGAAGTGACCAAGATGTGGGGAGAGGAGTCAAGACTTTTGGGGGGAAAAAATAAGGAGATCCACGATACACCGAGTAAGTCCAAGAAAAAAAAATTAATTAGAAAATAGAGAAGAGGAAACATTGAAGAAATGGACTGAGAATTTTCCAGACTTAATTAAAGAAATGAGGCCTCAGATTGAAGAATCACAATGACTCCCAAACAAGATAAATTTTTATAAATCCTTGCATAGATACTACATTAGGGAAATTGCTATACAACAAATACAAAGATAAAATATTTTTTTTTACCTAACTGCTTATTTTATTTTTTCCAAGTTTTTATTTAAATTTCAGTTGGTTAACCTACAGTATAATATTAAAGTGTAGGATTTAGTGATCCATCATTACATACAAAGATAAAATATTAAAACCAAGCAGAGAGAAAGGAAAGATTAACTATGAAGGAAAGATCATAGACTTTCTTGTTTTTTTAATAGTCTCTTTGGATTGTATATTTATTTCTTAATCATGTCCCGTGTTTTCAATGATTTTTGTTTTTTGTTTTTTGTTTTTATTTCTTTTCAGCATAACAGTATTCATTGTTTTTGCACCACACCCAGTGCTCCATGCAATCCGTGCCCTCCCTAATACCCACCACCTTGTTCCCCCAACCTCCCATCCCCCGCCCCTTCAAGACCCTCAGGTTGTTTTTCAGAGTCCATAGTCTCTCATGGTTCACCTCCCCTTCCATTTCCCTCAACTCTCTTCTCCTCTCCATCTCCCCATGTCCTCCATGTTATTTGTTATGACTTTCTGACAGAAGACTTCTCAGCAACAATAGACTCTAGAAAACTTCATACATCCTAATCCCAATGGGTTCTATAGAGGCAGGGCTTCTCCAACTGTCCTCCACCCATGGGCTCCCCCGCTCAAATTTTCTTGAAGGCCTTCAGGAATACTTAGAGTTTCACTTTTGTTTCCAAACACCTTTTCTTAAACTATCTTTTCATTATTGAGTTCCAATTTAATAATGCCCGCGCCTAACAATGAAATCTGTATGAGATAAGTTCTCAAGCTTTTTGAAACTCACTTTGTGGCTAATATGTGGCTAAGTGAGCCTGTGGAATACAGAACATGGCAGCCCCAAAGCAAACTCACAATGTCTAGAAACTGGGATATATGATAGAGATGACACTCTTGGTGTATGAAGAAGAGGTTATTCAGTTAAATGTAGTACCACAACTGCATACACCTCTTGTAACTTGTGGTTTACTCATAGTATACATCAGTAGAAAATAGAGCCACATGCATCAATAAATATAAGTCTCCAAATCATAATATTAACTTTAAAAATGCCAGTTCACTGAAAAAAATAAATTAAATTTAAAAATAAATAAATAAAAATTTTTTAAAAAGAAAAAATGTCAGTTCAGAATGACAGGAAAATATGACATATATGAAGATTTAAAACATGAAAATATTGTGTTCTTTTAGATATATATTCTAAAAACATACATAGGATAATGAATACTTCATTCAGGATAGTGGTTACCTTGGCGAAGAAGGAAAGGATAGAGGATAGAATAGAAGAGTAGTTTGGGTTTTTTTTAAGACTTTATTTATTTATTTGAGAGAGAGGGTAGAGAGAGAGCATCAGTAGGGTGAGGGGCAGAGAGAGAAACAGACCCTCACTGAGCAGGGAGCTTGATGCAGGGCTCCATCCCAGGACCCTGGTATCATGACCTGAAGGCAGACACTTAATTAACCAAACCATCCAGGTGCCCAGTAGCTCAGGTTTTAACTGTTACCTGTAGCCATTTTTTTTTTTTTACAAAATAAGAACAGGAAAAAAAAAAGTTGAAACCAAAAAAGGTGAATGTTAAGTATTTTTTTAAAAGTTGGATGTTGTATATATGTATTGTATTGGTTTCCACATATTTTTCTATATTGTGAAACTTTTCATACTAGAATATATAAACAGAAAGGCAAGAATGGAAACTGAAACATAAGAGCTTCTATTTTCTTATATTTCCATTATTTATTCCTTCATAAGACTAAGCATACCATTCTATCTCAAAATAACATCCAGCTCAGTTAATTCAATCACACACACAACTTGGGACACTCCAGCCAGTATATCATGGAGAATCTAGAATTAGGTAATATCTATCAAGAACTGGGAGAACCAGAGGTTTATTTCTGAAACAATTTCCCAAAACCTTGTGGAAGAAAGGAAATGCCAAAATACACGTGAAATATCAACTATCAGAATTATAATGGGCCAATGAGCCTAATGCTTCTCTAAATTATCTTTCCCTAACCCCAGCCATGTTCCATGTTTCCAATTACCATTCCTATTTCTCTGTCTTGCTGTAGTAAATTCTATAGTAAGTTTCTAATGGAAGTTCTTTCATTTGGGACTGACTCTAGAACAGGACTCTGGAATAGAAGGGAGAAATCTTCAGCAAGACTCTAATAGACAGAGATGCAGGGCTCATAACTGCCTATATTTCTCCAGCTTCAGAAGCCCAGGACTAGATTAATCATAATCCCTGATTCATGCTGCAGCCTATTCGTTGTCCAAGTATACCTGCTTGCTTGTTCCCCTAGTTTTGGATACTATTATAAACACCCATTAACTTGATTTTAACACAGAAACTAAAACATTGATTTTAATTCATATCTGTATGTACATCAGTTCACCCTGTCACTTTCTGCCTAAGGTAACCAGCCTCCTAAATCTTGGGTTAATCATTCCCTTCCTTTCATCAATACATGTTTAAATTTGATATATATTTACTACAGGTATTCCAAGAATATTGTTAAGTTTGAGATGATCTGAAACTTATAAAAGAATAACAAAATTTAAGTAATTAGGGGTTATTTGATTTTATGATAATCACTGA